CGAGCATTTCCTCATATGTCCGTTGGCCACTTGAATGTCTTCTCTGGTGAAGCGTCTGTTCATTTGGCAGGATCAATTTTAAAATACAAAATGGCACCCAAGCAGGTGCAGAAGGTTGTAAGATTAGTAAGGATTTTCTAAGGCACAGATTTGATTCCCTGAGCAGGAGGGACTTAGTCATTTTTATTCATTAGCATGTCAGCTCTGCACCCAGGCATGGAGAATTTACTGTACAGGAAGCAGTTAATGAGCTAAAGAGCTTCTGGAATGCCAGGATGTAGGGCAGCACCTGTTTTAGCCAATTTCCGCTAGCCAGTGGCTCTTTCTCTTTAAGGAGTTTCTGAGGAGGAAAAGAATTATAGGAAATGGGCTGGGTGAGCGGAAAACCAGACCAATGGGTCCATGCCCAGTGTACAAGAAGCCAATCTCTCAGAGGCTATTTTTGAGAGGAAGAAAGTTTATTTCGCAGGCTAGCAGGCGGAAACTCAGAGGTATTGATCTCAGATTGAGTTCCTCGATTTGAGTGAGAAATCACATGTTATACTCATACATATTCATATAGGGATGGAGGAAGTGGTGGGCAGGATCAGAAAGTTTTAACTATTCATGGTTTCTGTTGGTTATTTATTACGAGGCAGGACTAAGACTTGGCCCAGAAGTGGCCAACGGATTCTTCACTTTGGAAATAGGCTTGGCTACTGCTGATGACATATATCTGGTGATTTTGGTTCCTTGACATGAGTCTTTTTGTTCCTTGACATGAGTTCTCTTGTGTTACTGAGTGTGCGTGGTAACCTGGGGGTCGTCTGTCAGTCATCTTTGTTGGTTCTGCTCATGTCTGACCATTCTGTGTCGATTAGATCTGGACCCATCCAAGGCTCTCTAGAGAGTCTGCAAAACAACTTAGAGGAAGTGAATGATGTTATGGGGGAGGTGACTAGACGTGGCCTGATAACAATGGAGTACTAATTAATTAGGTGTCTTCAGCCTCTAGGGTCCCCTAACAAGGAGCTGTCTTGAGGCTAAGAAAAATGACTCTATGGCTGTAGCCCTGTGTGAAGAGTAGAGGAGATAACACAGAGTAGGGCCACCATAAGGCTCTCGGTACCTCTAAGGCAGGAGAGCCCTGAGGCTAAAAGCCTCACACTGCCATCTGTGGGGTTCCCTCTGCCAGCGCTGGAGTAGGTGTCCTCTGGTGACACAGTCTCTGGCCTGTAGGACTTTGTTACTGGGTGGAAACCCCAGGTTCTTAGCAGTCATGACTTTTATTGGCCAATGAAGACAGAGAAGGGAGAACAGGAAAGGCACCTTTATTTCATTGT